AAAGAGGCTCACCATAGCTAACTCGAACTCTCGGATGTATCAACGAAGCTCCTGTTGATGATCCTGAATACATGTGTCTGCATCATGAGAAGATACATGCCAAATGTCTCAGTACGTGGAATGTACGAGGATGTAAGAGGAATTCTAAAGCATAAACATAAGCTTGAAAAAAATCTGAAAGGAAACTGAAGAACTTACCTGGTTCAACTCAACTCAACATAACTGAACTCATTTCAATATAAAGCAATTTAAAACATGTGCAATATAAAGAAAAGTTGTTTAAAAACATGATCTCAACTCTGTGTGTATACAAAGATACATATAACTCTGAGATGTATGTAAAAATACAAATAATCTGATGTATATAAAAATACAAAATACTGTTGTGGGAGTTTCTCTAAACGACAACCATCACATAAGAGTTATTGTGATGATACATCGATCTTCCTCACGTTGCCAGCGCATCCTACACCTTGCCATAGGTATAGGACCTGAACTACTAAGTGGATCCACTAGTCTATGGGAAAAGGATTCATCTAAAAAGTATGACCCTTTTCTACCCATGATGGCTACATGGTTTATGGGGGCTATGAGTTGTCTGAACTCTCCCCCATGTCGGTGCTCAATACTACTCCCAAAATATACTAGCTCTTTATGTTTTAAAAACATACTTCTTTCTGTGATTTGAGATTAGTGCTCAAAAACTTAGCTCAAAGGATATCTTGGAAACCAAAGTTTCCTCTCTTGCTTCATTTAGAAAGCAATTACTCTTTTCTGAAAACTAGCCCGAAGGCTCTTTGGAAATCTCAGTTTCCGTTCTTATTTAAACGTGAAAACATTTTAAATCTCTTTGGTAATACTTAGTCCCCATATACTTTTGAAGAAATGAACTTCAACTCTTTACTCTTTGCTCTTTACTCTTTGCTTAACGCTAAACTTAAGTCTTAAAAAAAAGTTAAAACGTTTGTAAAAGACTTCTTAAAATATGGTTCATGCTGAATTATGGACGTGAACGACTCAATGCAAGGTTTTCAATAACCATAGATAGAACTCAATACTTGGAACTCAAAACTTCAATGATACTACTCACTTCAAGAATGCTCAACTCAGAGGGTTCATGCGGAATTATGAGCATGAACTACTCAACTCAAGGACTCAAAGATACTTCTCATCTCAAGATTATTCGGCTTATAATGTTCATGCGGAATTATTGGCATGAACGATTCAACTCAAAGACTTCATGGGTAACATGTAATAGTCCCATGATTAGAAATATAATCTCAAAGAGAATTAGGAACTCAATACTCAAGACTTAGAACTTGAAAATACTACTACTCTCAATGAGGCTCAATTTATGGAGTTCATACGGAATTATGGGCAAGAACGACTCGACTCAAAGGTCTACATAACTACATGGATCTCATGTATACGACTCTTCTCATTCTCTTACTTACTTCCTCAAAACTTAGCTCAAATCAATAGTTGATCTCAAAGGATTCACAATCGAACTCAAAGGCTTTCTTGAACTTTACTCTTAAATTTCTCTTGAATGTGAATTATGAATTCAAGAGTCATGGTTCATGATATGAAGGATATAGATGATAGTGTAGACTCATGAATACATTCTGCTCACTCTCATGCTCACTTACTTGAGTCTTGGAACAAGTTACTAGAAGTTGTAGAAGACTCCACAAAAGGACTTTCTTAGAATGTTCGAAAGAATTCTCAAAACTTAACTCTCAACTCTACCTTGAATTTGAATTATGAATTCAAGGTTATGATCATGTTAGGAATGATTTTAGGTATTTAGAAGTAGCTTAAAGTATTTAGAATCGAAAGGGAGTGAAGGTGCACTTTAAACGAACTCAAAAGGAGCAACCGAAGACAAACTGGATGGGGCAGGCGACCCTGGCGCTCTGAGTGGCGCAAGGCACCAGCCCCTAAACTTCAAAGGAGGGTTTGGGGAGCTCTGTCTGGTGCATCGCGCCAGGCCCCAACCTAGAAAACTCGACGAAATTCTTTGCTCGTTTTCTCACCTTAACTCGCCTAGAATCGAACGGTTTCTTCCCCTATCAAGAACTCAAATCTTTCAACTTCAAGAATGAAATTTGCGCTGAAAATAACATGTTTGGCATGTGGGTGAACAAACCCAATACTATGGAAGCTTACATACCTCTTAGGGATTAAACCCATGGCGAATAATCCGCAACAAGACGCTAGAATCTCGACGAACGCTTGATCCTCTCTTCTTTTCTCCTCTTTTCTCTTCTTGAACTCTCAACTAAAACCCTAGGTGCAAACTAGGATTATAAAACTGAACCTAATCAGATTATACCCCTAAAATATTACTAAAAATGAATTAAATCTGATTGGGTAAGGAAAAGACCAAAATACCCCTTACTATTTTCGGTTAACTTTCCTTAACTGGACTGCCTAACTTCAAAAGGTCATATCTCACTCATCCAACCTCAAAACTTAGCAAACTCGGCGGCGTTGGAAAGATAATTCAAAGTTCTTTCCTACGGTATCTAGTATCACACCTAACTCATCTTGAGCTAGAAGTTATAGTCGTTTGAAGTCGACCCAAAACTCATACTTAGCTTAACTTGCAAAATTTCAGATTTTGCTATTTCCAATTTAATTCTTTTTGGAACTCAAGGTGCTACATCTAGTGACCTTAACACTTAAAAAATTTTAATTCCTCGGTAAAATCCTACTCACAACGAAGGATGGTTCAAGTCTTGGCTCAAATTTTTTTTGGGTGTTACAGGTAGACTCTTCTAGTTCTTTACTCCCAGAATTCTTCATTGTGTCCTTTCAGTAAATCTTCTCGTTAGACTTACCACCATTTTCCATGTCAATGATGAGTAACCATTGTTGAAAAAAAATCTCATTTTGTTTAGTCTAATATTTAGGGTTTACTCTTGTATCTTCTTTGTTCGTGTACACAGAGAAATTTACATCATAACCACTTGAATCTTGAGGTCTTTTCTGATATGTGATAGAAGTCATTGCAAAATTGAGATGGATCTACAATCTTGTGCATATGATATGAAGAAGTGGATTCAACATATGAATTATATCCATGCAACAGACCTACAACCACATACCAACAGAAAATTGGAAGCAGTATCAAAATAATGGAACATAAAATCACCAAAACAGGACACCAAAAAAAAGACAAGCTTACAGCGTCCATTAGATCCAGCAACAAAGTTTAACCCAAACTTCCGGAAGAAATACTCAAGTGAATGAGCAAAATAGAGAAGCTTGCAGGGGAGAAAGAACTTGCTTTGGCATACGCGTCATTTGCTGGGAAAAAGAAACATATACACGTGTTAATCAAATAGATACGAATTAAAAGTACCACTCAAATAACTTTGGGTACAATACTAAATTGCAGTGTTAGTCCTAGATGTTGTTGGCTTATAAATAAGGGTAATATGCTTCCTTAAGAACCCAATGTCATAATTCTTCAAATGGCAACAACAATATACGGCCGGATGCATCTCATTAGTTTGCACTATTCATTAGCCTAATGGGATGTATAGTGATTTAAGGGAACTTACGTAAATTTTACTAGTTTAGAAATTAATTATTTAGATATACTCTAATTTTTAATATTACGTATCTTACCAGATTTTGGTGCCTCCAGATACGTCCAGATACATGTATCTCGGATATATGAAGTCAAATTCATGTGTAATTTGTTCTAGATATATTGTATACAAGTTGATTCATATGTATCTGAGATATATAACAAATCTCGCTCGCCTCTCTCCCATCTCACTTGTCACTTTCTCATCTTGGATTCATGTGAATCACTCAAAATACCTACAAATACATGTATCTAGTGTGTACCTAGTGGGAAATATTCACATGTATTTGAATACATACGAATCTCGCTCGCCTCACTCCCCGCTCACCTCTCTTACTATTTTTGCGAATTTGGTAACAAAATACATGTATCTCAGTATAAGATACATAGAAAGTATGTCTAATTATGTAATTTTTCCTTGATTTAATATGGTATTAGACTTAGTATTAGGTATATGGGCTTATGCATAACCATTAGAATTAGATGTAAGGTATACTTTTTCCTAGAATTTTAGATATATATCTGAAAGTTCAAAATTCAAAATTCAATTTGTAGTCTAGATTAAATACAAACCAATAAAATAAAACAAAAAATATTGCATTTCAATTTTGCCCAAACTATGCCTACTTATCTTTGAATCAATAAACAACATTTTAGGTTGTGTTATTCCAAATTCTTTAAAACTAGGTTCAACTGCATGCATATAATTAAGCATAAACAAACATATAACAAAAATCTCTTCTTCCAAGGAATTATGAATTGTGAAAACATCAAGCTTCCTGAAATAGACTTTTCTCATGAAGATCTAAAGTTAGACACACTTATATGGAATCAAGTGAAAAGCCAAGTCCACAAAGCATTAGTAGATTATGGTTGTTTTGAAGCTTTCTTTAATAAAATTCCAATACATGTGAATAAAACATTTCAACCAAACTCTTTCATGGCTATGTGGGACCATTAATACATGAATATTATTATTGCTTTTAT